CATCCGTTAAGCTAGTTTCGAAACCGTTCTCTTTCAGCGTGGTAGTCTTGAACAGACTGTGCATTCCGTCCCCACAATAAAGAACAACAGCTTTTTGGGGGCATTGCTCAAGTGCTATGCACTTGGTCAAAATTCACATCGAGAGCAGCCAAACTAGACCCGTCACCCTAGAACAAAGTTCCATATAAAAACTTTAAGATATTCAACTATAACCGGACTGAAACGACCATACATATTGGCCTTTACAACCCCCAGTGATATAACGAGTGCATTAAAACCATCTTTCTCGCATCAAAAATGGTGAACAGTATTACATCCAACTGAAAGAAAGAGAATCTTTTGAATTATCACACTAGTCTGTTTGTACAGTCGGTTGAACCTGGATTATTGACTTACGAGAGAGCTTAGTACTAGAAGCATTGGAATGTTAAACTGACTGCCTCAGTTAACACGTTTTTCCAACTGTCGAGATTCACTTAAAATGCGCATATGTTGACTGTACTGGTAGAGAATTTACATTACTGTCACATGTATCAAGAAGACCACACTCATGAACTTGCTTACAGTTTCGGGCCTGGCAACGTCCATGTTTATTTCTAATACCCTGTTCCTCCATGAAGCAGAGTGGTAGTTGGTTACAACCATTTACTACACACACACACACACACTTACATCTTGCTTCATTGTAGAGAACGGTGTGAAACAGGTGTGTAAGCCTCATCACGAATGGACATTAGACAAACAAATGTGTGTTTACTTAAGCCGTTTGATGTGAAACAAAGCACTGCTGCAGTTTGACACGCAATTGTAGCAACTGGACCAGTGATTTTAAACACAAACTTCTTGGTCTAACAGCTGTTTCGTTCGGTGTGAGTTAAAGCTATCTCTGAGTCCGCGGTACTCAAACAGTTGGAGCCGTGGATCCATTTTTAGTGAAAGCTCGCAAGGCGGATCCCCCGAAACATAGTTAACCATAGGATTGAGCTTTACTAAACTGTGGTTGAGATTGAAGTGTCCTAAAAACGTTTGGAGTTGTTCACTGAACTAGCAAAGGGGTTCTTTTAATTTGTTAATAAAGGAGCATGTTGAATGTGGGTATAAAAATATAACATAGAGCAGCTCATAATTTGACAGCTGAAATTGTTTCTGACATGAATGATGTGATGTGTATGATGTTATTTAGAAAAACCCACAACCTCATATCTGGTTGAGCCTCAAGTCTATTGCGGCACTGTTTTAGGTGTAGTGCGCAAATGCTCATTCACACGGATAAGTTGTGACGAATGGGCGAACCACGGTGACAGCTGTCTTCGTAATGATAGGATACACGTCCATCAGTTTGCACCAGAAATCAGACAGCGGATCTTTGTGAAACTCTTCCTGTAGGGAAGAATCTGGCATCAACTAATACTACATCAGAATTTAACGGTGAATATTGCTGACACAGTAATCAATGCTCTTATGAAGAACTAAAGGCATAACTTAGTATCATATGTAAAAACACCAAAAAAAAGCTAATTTTACACACGAATTGCAAAGCACGCCAAAAATTTGTTTAGCTTGGTTAGTCGAACTTTGAAGTACAAAATAAACAGAACAGTCACCTTGTGTAACGTCACAAAATAGTATTACTTCAACTCACAAACTCAATTGAGCACACTGGTCAGACACCGAAATCTCTACGCTTTCCTTCTGGACATCTCTGGGTGGGATCACACCAATGGCCTTCTCTTTCCGATTGGCCGATTTCCGAAGATAACGACTTTCGAAATAACCGCAAAAGGCGCAAAATCTAAGTATTTACTTTCGCCTACTCCGAAGAACAAAGTCTAAGTTATGGGAGATTGCGTTGACGTATAATGATCCATTCAACCTCTACCCATCTCATCAACAAGAGATTATCTCAATACCTTTCTGAAATTTGAAAATTTCTTTCACTAACACTTTAAACTTCTGACAAACCAAAGCTCCTTCTTGGAAAGAGATTGCTTTACATTGGCTAATCACAAGGCTAATGTAGACCCTTAGATTTGATTGACAACTTTCTACTGCAAGTTCAGCGTCGAACTATGTAATAAATTGATCACATCCAAAAGTTAGTAACTTAATGATAACATTTCGGGAAATAACGCAGATCACACTTTGAGAAACATTGCTCTGAGTATTGCTTAACATAATACTCTCCTCAAAACGGCGTCTCGTTGGCAGCGACAGAGAAAGATGGAGTTTTTGCAGTCAGGACCGCGATAAAAATCCCTGTGCCATCGTGGCAATTTATTCGTTCTTAGCTATTCACTTAGGGTAACGAGTAACCTACCCAAGTCCAAGCTCCAGAAGTGTTATGCCAAGACACGTGACTGGTCCCTCAAAGCCCCTCCCCTTAACAAGCACATCATTAAGTTCACGTGACAGGTCCGACGATTTCTAGTCACCAACCACACTATGATTATTTTTATGTTTCGGTACACTGTGCAAGCCACTGTTTATTCAAGAGGGCATTTCTTGTCATGATAAACAATGCAACACGTAAATGAGGAACTCCTACACCAACAAAGCCAGCACTGTGTCTAACAAAGTCTCAATCTCCGGACTAATTGATTAATTCAATAAGGCATATATCTGCGAAGGGGTGTCAAATTGCGATCTCTGTATGAAGCCTTCCTGGACCGTTGCCTTTACTCATCAGGCCCAGTATCGAATGGAGCGGGCGAAATGTGAATAGATATACACAAAAAATTTTGTTTACTTCCTTCTGTGTTTGAATTATTTGTACTCCGCTCCTGTGGCTCTCTCGATCACTGTAGCGTCAATTAGGTAAGCTTAAGGAAAAGACGCATTAGAGTTCTATAATCCGTGTAACGATCGTTTATCAAACATCTCCACTTCGGATATAGCCCAGTGATCGAAATAGCATAGGTTTACTCCAAAGCAAGACTCTAGCGTCAGTTGAGATTGCGTGTCACAATCTAGACACACGGCGGGAACTCTAAGGCCAAATAACAAATTTCTAGTCAAACTTTGAATACTCTAAAACAAAGATCAGTGTTGATTGAGGGTGACCTGGTAACCCTTCCCCGAAAAAGCGATGATGATGTATACTGATGAAAAATGGTCAATACCCAGCGATCAGCGTTCTACGCCCGATGCCGCCTGCTCAAAGCATTGTTGTGCACCGTCGCTCAAGCCACCAACTAAGCTGTGCGCGCATCCACAACTGAAATTTGAACGCCGAACTGGTAAGTGGTGGTTATCGGTCTTACTATTGGAACACTCATCTCCCTATTAACGATTACCAGGTGATCTGGGGCTCAGTTTGAGGCTTGTGGTACCCGCTGTGGGTCTTGATTACGGCAAACAAAGCAAATCGTGTGTCTCAGCAGAAGTTGCCTCTGGACCTGTATCGTAAAATTTATTGACAGCTCAAAGACAACTTATTCCGGCGTATACTGGAACAAGCGTGTCCCCAGAAATTTAGGTTTTAGTGACAATTCCTTCGGTCGGCAAGCAGCACAAGTCGGGTTCAAATCCTTTTTTGGTTGTATCTAGCTGAATTGTTCAAACGGAAAGGAACTTGGTCACGGAGTACGGTGCTTGATCTGAGCTATGGAGGAATGGTCTGTAAGTTGATTGCGGCATCCGAAACCAGAAGAACCGAGGTTTCAATCATAGTCAATCGTTTCTAATTGTGATTCAACGTCTAAGTCCACAGACACGATCAGTACTCCATAACCCACGATGAATTTAGCCACGTTCATTTGAAATCTGAGAGACGAATTCGTATAGATAGTTATCGCTATTTTAAAACTTATAATTCTATACTTATACTGAGAACCTTAACAATCACTTCATCAATTTTATTCTGTAAATCTTTGACTCCAAACTTATCTATTCCGCTCCATTCACATTCATGTTGATGTTAGGATATCCAACTGTATATGTTTATTGAAAAGAGTTTATTTCTGCAGTGCCAATTTGCATAGCACTTTGAACTCACTCAACAACTTGTGCGTATGAAATCATTACACTTTTCCATGGTTTGATTTGAATAGTAAACAACTAGGTGGTTGAATTCCAACGCCCAGTAGAGAGTATTGAAAATCGCGTGTCACGTGACAAAGAAGACAGTGTTTATCCTGTTATTTTGTCCGTTCTTTTCTCAACTGATGTGAATATTGGCAGCTAGCTAATGACCCCATTTTCATCTATTCTTGATGCAATACAACGCGCTTAGGTTCCATGCTTCTTCTGTTACTTTCGCTAGATTGCCTCCGTTTCATGCACATGAATCATTCATCAGTGAGGATGAGACAAATTGTGGACAAAATCGTTTATTTACCAATAAGTAGGGGAGAAAAGCATTCCCTTCGAGATTTCTCGATAAATAACAATCCACTGATACGGCAGCTCCCATGTGTATTCACACGCTACTCCCAAACTATGCGTAAACACGTGCAATATCACCCACAAACGCACACACACAGAAGTCACTGGTTGTGACCTAACTTCACAGAAGTAGGCGGCCGTCAATCATACAGGATTGAGAGGAATGTTTCTGGGAACCAGGACAGAGTAATTTTGCGCATGAGTTAATGCGCAACCGACCAGAAGCACAGCATTCTTCTGCTTACTGGGGTCCTGAGTCAACTGTTGACACTGGAAGAGTATGGAAGTCAAGTGCAATTCATCTAGCTTACGTAATTTCTTGCCACCTGGCTCATGCGTTAAATTCAGTTCTCTTTTGGCTAATTGCACCTAGGTTCTTGGTCAGTTCACCTCACCAAGGATATACACGCTTTCATTGTCGTTCCGATGGTGCAGCAACTGTGCCTTAGTGACAGAAAAATTGTTTGAAACTAAACGTACCAGTTTCATCAAACCTGATCAAAAGCGCGAACTGAGCCAAGCGCGTGTTAATCGAATAGGTTCGAACAGTGAAGGGGCGACCATGTATTTAGTTTGAAACATATTGCACTACTAATAAAGGTTGCAGTAGCAAAAGTTTATGAAAAATAGGACAGTAACTTACGTTCCGCGTCGTCCAGTTGCAGCGAAGGTGATTGGAATAATCTACCGAAAAGAGTGAGTATAAAACAAACTTATGGTAGATTGTTATGAAATATATGAATTAAAAAAGAGTGCTATGGGAATCCAATGACAAAGTTAATTGACAGCTTAAGTTTGGTTGGCTCGTCGCTTGCTGAGGTCACCCTGCCCTCTGCACGGTAGTAACGTGCAAGTCAGTGAATAGTGAGCGGCGATATATCACATCTAGTAACAGATGCGACGGTCGTTACCATTTCATGAAGCTCAGTGATCTTGACCACATACTGACAATTAACGTGTTGCGCGTTCGAGCCACACAATTGACAGATGGAATACGCACTGCTGATGATTCTCGGAAAGATGAAACGGGAGTACAGTGCTTTTCCGGACCTGTGATGGCTGTCTGATTGAGTCTAGATGTTTTGAATTACAACTGGTAAGTTATGTAGAGCATGCAGTTTGTCGGCCGCGCTTAACTAAATGTGGCGCTTTGCGTGCGAAAATAACGCAAAAATCTAAGATCCGCTTTCTTTGACCCCGTTTAAAACACGCGGTTGAAATAACCACTGTGGAAAACGTTTATATTAACTGGATGTTTCCAGCCACTTACTGATACTGCATGCTCTTTCAGAAGTTTAAGGCTATTTTATAAGTCGCAGTTAAACGGTTTATCTGGATTTTAACACTTAACATTTTAAAGGTTAAACATTGGTCATTGCGGAAATTATTAATTGGCTGAGCCATCCATCCGTAGATTTATCAAACCAGCATTTGTATGCGCCGCCAAAGCATCTCAAGCTTTTATGCACATTTTTATGTTTAAACGCAATACAATTAGGGATGAGTGTCGTATCTACGCAAGCCTATGTACATAGCACCAGCACAAAAGAGCCAGCACCCTCTGTCCTATGTGGTCATGCGCTAAGACGACGTTGTATTCTGTTTGTTGCTTGTCGTTGTCGTCAGCAAAACAGGGTTTTAACTAGGCGCGACTGATTTGTACAAGCGAGTTGATTTCACAAACTCAATGTGCCAACCATTCCTGTCCGTGGTCTGCACTTTGAACGATGGAAACGGTGGAACTTCTGAATAACCGGTTAAACTTTGCTTGGTGTGCGAACCATGCTAATTTTCAGTCAAATTCCTTGGAGTTGTCTTGTTTGAACCGCTTCTGAATCCCGAACCGGATTGAGATCCCTTGTCGCAGTTCATTCACCCAACAAGTGTTTAAAAATAGTCCGTGGTGGCATATGAGTCACCGATGCCAGTCGGATGTTCATGCACCCAGCACTGACTGCCTAAATGTATTCGCGTAAAGGTCTCTATCGCTCAACCTCTCATTGCTGTCGTACATGGTTCTCGCTATAATGAACTGTGCGTACCATCAGCTCGGCGTGTTCCGCCGCTTAGCGGCCTTTCCGTTACAAATTATTACGGCGTTCGCAAATCTTGCGTTAGTCTTGCATACGTATATTATAACATCCTCTAATCATCCTTTACTCATTTTGATAAGCGTTTCTCCCAGCAGCTCATTAGCTTTGTGCCAGACGCTTCCGATGATATCCCAATGGCTTCGGTTTCAAGTCCGCAGATGACAACGGCGAATAAGTAGTACAGCTCTGGTGGAATGCACAGGTACGTATAGGCAACATCCCATTGTCATAAGATAGATACTGCTGATGTATTCATAACACCTACGGCGAATGAGCCCCAGACCATCCTCTTGGTCTGCATCTTTACATGGTTATCAAGGACAAGGGAAGCAGACTTAATCGATCGGTTAGCTGCCTGTGACTCTTTACACTGATGTACTGTACTTACTCGTATATGTCTTCAGTGCTAGTTCTGCTAGCTACATAAGATAAACCCTTAGCTTGTTAATCTGTGTTCTCTCTGCTTCCTGCTTGAATGATGCAGTAAGTGCAAACCCCTGGTTACTTTGACGTTCAAAACTGATTACTATGTATACAAACTGCCTCTTGGACAAACCCGCTGTTCAAAGATTCTTGGAAGCAACTGCATGCGCTACTCCAATCTATGATGGCTTACGAGATATATTTATCTTTCGTAACTTTGTTTCTGTGTGCTCTATACTTCAGTCACAACTGTCATGGAGAATCTAGAGCTGTGTGTACTCAATCTACTCGACGGCATTGTTAACGGTGTTAAATTATCACCACTTTTGGTGTATTAGCAGCTGACGATGGATAGTAAACCATCATGGTGGAGCGAAGCGCAGAAATTGACCAAAAATTAGCCGCAAATGAAGTATGAAATTTGAATAATGCTTGGAATATGAAATGGTTGAAATATGCTTGAAATATGCATGGTTGCACATAGGTGATTAAGAGGAATGCACGAAATGTCTGTATCATTTCTCGACTTGTATCTTTTCATCGTCTTGTTTGATAAACTGGGAAATAACAAACGCAGCGATCGTACTGATAGATTAGGTTTAGACTTTTGTGAACCATACAAAGGATGAGCTATTCGTTTTTCTGTAACTCACCAGCAACGCGCGCCCCCGTCATATTCTACTGCGTTCGCGGGTAAGAGCCAGCGAATTATGCCACTGAGCCAACGGGCAACCGTAGTGCACCACCGTGTCTACTTACGAAGTTCCAGATGACGCGATGGATACTCTACAGTCATACAAGTTATGATGGTGCCCCAGAGCTAAGTCTCTCCCAACGAATTTGCTTGTGATCTACTCGGGATGCCACAACTTGTTAGTTCGTTTGCCGCTTGAGGGTGTTTGGCTGCGAACTGCATCTCAGAAAAGTCTACAGTCTCTTCGCTACTATTTGAAGACGCAAATGTTACACTGATGGCTTCCGAATTTACAAGACTTATTGGAAAATACGACTGATACTCCTACTACTCCACGTAGGAGTACTGGGTAAACCTTGACAAAAATAATCAATAACGGTCACCCAAATACTATAGATAAAGTTTGAATTTAAAAATAACTCACCTTGAGGGACTTGAGGGAGAGTCGAGCTCAGGACTACCTTTCAACTGTGGATACGGCGTTTCATCGCACGCACTGTCAAAAGAGACTAGAGCAGTTTCGTCCAAAGACGAGTGTTCACTCAAGCTGTCCATGGGATCAGCTGAATAAGGAAGACTTCCAACTAGAGACGAGCTTGCGTCACTATTAGTTTCGCGGTCAGCAGCAACAGCAGCTTCATTGGTTTGTATGCTTGAAATAGTCGGTACTTCAGAACTGCAACAACGTTTGTCGCTATTGCTTTCAACACTCAAGCTGTCGCTGTTGGTTGCGGAAACTTGATGTTTTATACCCAAATGGTTGGACTGAATATGTGGAATATGTGTGTTGATGTGGCACTGAGCATTAGTGACGGGAGTTGAACAACGAGGAACGCCAGAGCATCCGTTGGAAACGACAGCTTGTGCACCGACATAGTAAACACTTGATAATCCATCAGTCTGTAAAGCACCCACATGTGAGGTCGCTTGTCCATGCGCATCCGTCTTCAAGAAAAGAGAACTTGACACCGTTGCAGCACCTGGCCAGACTGGAGTACACGAAGATGATGAAACTGGTCTAATGCGTATTCGTGCGTTCATTCTGAAACGAGTTCTGGTTCTCCCATTGACCACTGTCCTACTTTGAGTTGGCCAGTGATTACTGGATGTTAAAAGCAAGTCAGGGACCTGCAGACCTTTGTCTACGACCACAGGAGGATAGTTGTGCTGCGGCACCTTTCCTGAAGGGGATGTTTGCGATAGTACTTCCCGACGGTCTTCAGTGGGTGAATTATGTAGTACTTCCTCGTGGTCGACCGCGCAACTTGGTGAATGCGAAGAGGGACTTGAATCGGAGACCTCCTCATCAGCGTGCCTTCTATTATCCACCACCGCTGCATCGTATACTTCAAGGGGCCGGCGTAAACATCCATTTGGGTACCGGATGTGTACGTCAGACAAATTTGTTTTCAAATCGTGGTGGCCACTTCGGTTGACATCATCATCGTGCGTCGATTCAGCAGCGTGAGAACTTTCTTCTGCATGTATGGTTGTTACGTTGAATTTTATTGTGTTACCGGTCCTGTTGAACAATAACGACAGAAATAATTGTGTTGGTTTGAAGACTACAGAGAGATAGTTGTTACTGAAGGATTGCAAGTTACAAGGATATGGTAATCTGATCAGAAGTTTTTTGAAATCACAATGTAGGTTAAAATTCTACTTCAACGCGTTGTCGCAATTAATGAAATTAAATTTAGTAATTGCATTAATTAATTAAATATACTGTAGCGATCATCATAAATGTACGCTGTTGTTTAGAATTATTACTGCCAAACTTGTGTTGCAAGGTCAAAATAAAGGATGAAGTGAGAGTATTGATATAGGTGGAAAAACGTTTCTTCAGACAAACTTTTCTGACCTGAGAGTGAATATTTTTTGCACGCTGCTTTGATGATGAAATCGCAGTTGCCGGACAATTTAATTGACCAGGTTGGTGAACAAAATGATTCTGTGAGTTCGCAGATGAAAAATTAGGCCTAGGCTGCACATATGTTAGCTGCAGAAGTTTATATCTCAGAAACAGACGTTACGTCAGAAATGATGGGTCAGCAAATCAGGCAGCGCATGCCGTACCTACAGGGCTGTCACCAGTACTGTTAGACCGCATCCATAAAAAAGGACGCCGTAGTCGTATATTCAAAGAAACGGTTCATTCTAACAAAAGACCCAGGAAGCTGATCAGATTGCTGAAAATTTGTCAACTAATCTGGAGAAAGGAGTAGAAAGTAGGTAATATTGACGCTTGTGATGCAAAATCTGTCCGGTTCTTGTCCGCTGGGACAGCTGTTTCGTCCTTGAGATAAGGTCACTTCATTCCACTCGGTTGATTGCAATGTAATGTTGTGACATTTTTCAAGTTGTCCATTTATTTTCTAACAGATGCCAAGTAATTCGCTTTGATGTGAACTCTTCAGCCAAAGCTAACCCAACCAAGAGTCAAATTGGTGGCCTTAATAAACATACCAAACCACTGGAACATTAGACATTGCGAGCATAGCTCATCCAAAAGTTTTCGTTCTCACCCAGGTTCACATAACAGACACACAAAACCGAGATTTAGTATCTTCACGGAGGCTGCAAGTAAAACGGTGGGGTCTAGTGATCTGAATGGATGTTTATTGATCGGATAGGTCATGTTCATGTCCGGGCACAAAGTCTCCACAATGTGATAGCAAAAAGCCAATGGCGGTCCAATACTGAAACCATGGTGGTATCGCTGTCGAACAAGGACTAGCTAAAGGTAACGCATTTCGTGCTTTGCAGATGTCCTTTGCATCCTGTGAACTTGTACAGCTGTGCTAACAAAAGTATGCTTCAGTAACGAAGCAAATAAGTTTTAATTCTAGAGTTCGGAGCGCCCACAGTAATTTTGTGTTGTGATGTGTGGTCTCAGCTTGTGTCCCAGCTTACTATGAATAAATCTCGGTCAGTCTAATCAGCAAAATGACCTTTGTGCGTTGCTGGCCCGTAATACTAAGTTTCACATCACATAGCCTCCTTATCTGGAATATAAAAATGAAAATAACGAGCTAAAATCTGGTTCAGAGACGAAGGTTACAACCACATACATTTACTAGTTTATCACTCTTTCAAAGACAAGTTAGCTTTCTTTTGCATAACTTAAACTCACCTGCCCTAAAAAGTATCACAGGAAGGCTACTGTACGATTTGCAACGACTCGTGGTAAGGTATACGAAAGAGAAATTACCACTCCTCATCTTCTTGGTTGTTAAGATACATAGCAAAGAATTAACCGGTTTTCAATCAGTTATTCAGGTGTGCAGGACCAGTGGAACTCACTCAGTGTTGCGCAGTCCGCTTGAGACAACGATGAGCTGATTTGAAAGTGGCGTGGTACACGTTCTGTCAAGATTCATTGGACTCAGTCGATCCGGTGTGATCTGAAGTTACGACAGCACAGGAATTTTAATGAACATGGATAGTTGCAGATTAGTTTCCTTTAATGTTTCGATAGACAAAGTACCTTAAAAAGAAGACACAGTTGGGATATTCTATTAGTTTCAGCTTGTCTGAGACGTCTTCTCACTTCCGAGCATGTGATCGGCTATTATTCATTCAGTTATGCACCTAAGTGGCAGTTTTCAGCTAAACCTTTTTATAGACCAATAATTGGCCACTGAACTAACGTTATTGATGACATCTAACATGGACAAATGGAAACCCACAGGATCGCCGATGTACAGTGGCGGTTGTCAGAGAGTAACTTAGACGGAGCACGCCAACCCCATGTGCTGGAAGTTGTTGAAAATCACAAACTTGCACATGAGGAACCTACAATCCTTTGCGTGCACTATCTACATCAAGTGGTGCGTACAAAAGAACATAAAAAGATGAAAGCGTCTGCGAATCAGACTTTTTCGTGAAATCAAATCTAGACTTCCGTAGCCTCTGTTAAGTGACATACGCAAGGATTCAACACAAATGAGGTAGTTTGAAAATGTAGGGTGTATGTAAATGGTTTTGGTTTTCCCCCACATCACTGAAATTGCACAAAAGACAGAAACTTTGAAATTCTCCAATTCGGATACGATCCCAGCGATCGGTACGACAGAAGTTCACTTCAACTTTAAACCATGTTGTCAATTGAAGTCGGGTGTCGGAAACCAGAGCCTCGGAACATCCTAAAATCTGCAAATGAGTGACATTCAATTGTACGATCTATCCACTTGTTCTTTGTACAAACTTTTCGCATACAACAAGATTTAAGTACTTGGCCAATAAAGCCAATGTCACCGCGGTTCACAGAAATGGCTCAATAGTCAAAAACAGGAAAAAACAACAACATCATCATCAACCATTACAACGCAATAGTAGCAGATAACTGCGACACCGACCATGAAAATCCCAAGGCTGTTGAACCACATGAATTTATAGCAATGTAGCAGAAAACATTCAACTTTACAGACAAGAGATATTACCGCTATGTATCACATATGTATGGCGATCGAAATAATGTAATAACAATAAGATGGTTTATTCTTGGCGGTGTGAGAAACGTATGCATAGGCAAGATCGTGGTGGCGCGGTTATGTACAGGACAACGATCACAGACTGACCCACAATTTGGAAGCCATTCAAATATGGTCATTTGGGAGAACAAGTATGGCACAAAGAAGTCGAATGGAATATTTTGTTCTAATGATCATATGCTTCGGCAAAATGTCATTATGGTATCCCTTACAAATCGATAGAGCGGGGAAAACTAAATGTTTTTAAGCAAATTGTGGTAAAGACAAGCATGTTCCGAAGTGAGTGAACTGTTGTAGATCAAATTTACTTGAGAATTAAAAATTGTAATATGAGATGTGTATCATAACGCTTTGTTGTGAGAATGCTCTGCGGAGTGTGTTGGCCGGATCAAACTCCTTCTTTCCACTTTGCGTATGATGCACGGCCAACGTTGATAAACGCATTGCCATTCGAATTCTTTCGCTTGTTTAAAGTTGTAGCAACTCGCATTCGTGTGTTGGTCTTCCTTTGCTAATCGCAGTCGTCCGGATCTTCAGACTTATGCATGACCTTGACCGACTGTTAGCGCTTCCCGGAGATAAAGCGTCGGAATGGATTGTTCACTTGAGGGCTTTCTTCTCCTTTCAAAATTCATCAGAAATACACTGTATAAAACAAGTACGGTTGAAATCCCGTACCGGCGATTTGCAGGAATGGGTTAGCTCCAGAGAAGGGTTAATGTGACAAAGCATTTGAATGTACAACGCACTAGCGAGTTGGGCATTTCATTGACCTCAATGTAACGCCAGGTACTTGCAAAGATATTATAGATCTTCACAGGGAATTGATGTCCTGTGCATATCAAGATTTCGATATTCTCGTAAAGTATATTGTAATAAATGCGATTGAAGTCATTCCCCATTGGCTAACTTGGCTGAACAAATTGACGCCAGATGACGTAAATAATCGTAGCAGTTTCCAAAAGCCAGGCAACGTATAACGCAATTTTTCGTATCTGAGATAAACATGGACCAAAATGGAGGTATTCCCGACAGCATGTGTTAGCATATCACGAGAACGTTCTCTGTGTAGCCCTTTCCGGTATCGGGGTGATTCAACACATTTCTATCGACCCTTATTTGTAGATGTCTTAGGAAGGAGTGATAAGTAAACGTGCACAAACAGGAGAGGGCATCCACAGGAATGAAGTGAAGAGTACTCAAAAAACGTCTGCCACGTAACTACGCTCTGTGTAAACAGTTGAATATTGTACCCCGTTTATTAATCCTTAGGTAGAATTCGTTATGGGTCGCAGTGAAACGTCCCCTGCTCTGGCATGTACGAGGTGCCGTAACGCACAGAATCGGCTTCTTATCCTAGATTGGTTGGATTACTCACCGACCGGCTGGGTGAGCAGGACAGGGTTGACTATAAGCCCAGGCAGTAAAGGAGAAGAAGACATCAATCCATTGAGCAGGTGGGGGAAAGTAAGGGGTGAATAGACGATGTGGGAACGTCGCTCATAATGCGAGGAGACCGAAGTTAATTTGGAATTCGGTTATATGTACATTCCAGTTTCAAGCATTACACCTATCATGTCACAATACTCAGTGTATACTTCATGCACTTTTAATTTATGTTTTCATGGGCAGCCCAAATGCCAGATAGCACAATCAAACAATATTATAATCAAAATGTTGTAAACCCTATACAGTCGGCAACAAGTTCGGCATGCTAAAATCCTTACCACTCCAATGTTTGAATACCCGCATACATGACAGAAAAGCTTCAGAAAAGCCAACATGTCGATCTCCATGTGACCAATTAGTACGGCGTCCAAGTGCCATCTCTGTGCTGCTAACTGTTTCACCTCGAATCGCTTTAACAGCGATGAGTGAAGCGTGGACAACCATGCATCCGTATTAACAGCTTCTAAACGGTAATTCGTACATAGTCAAGTAAAGTCGAGATAAATTTTATACACCCTAGTGAAAGCATTTTCAACGATTTACGCTAACACGGAGGATACACTACGACCTAGAATCGCTGGAAAAATAATTCATTGAGAAGGAAAACACAAAGAGTTTATTTTAAACCAAGCCAATGTTTTCGCAGTAGCTATTGCTATGGAAAGCCGTGGTTCAAGTGGTCAGCATTGCTCAGAAGTTGCGTGGTAGTTGTGGTTCTCATAGTATATCGCAGACGGCTTCCAATTCAGGACAATACGCTGTCGGCCCTCACGGCTTGATGGCATTAGCTGTTGGTTAGTAGCACACGGCGCTTTTGTCGACGGGTTCGGTTTTTGGTGGAGTCAGGTGCTACGCACCAATAACAAAAACCACCTGTTGCTATTCCAAATGCGTGCTTGGTTGTTTAACTTGTTAGTTACTATGATAAACTCACTGTAAAATTATATGAAAAGGTCTTGCTCCTAAGTAACCATAAGAAGTCGACACACCAGTGCAACTACTCTTATGTTCGAACATTAAGATTACATTATAAATTCCTTCATAGATACCGCAAACAGGAATGTATATTATAAATGCCGACGACCATACCGTCTATTGCTACCATCTTCGCCCTTGTCAGGCATTTTGTCATGTAGAGCAGCCTACCAACCAGAAAGGTACGCTTTGAACGTGAGAGCATTCTACTTTGAACTCGAAATTCCATCGATCTGAGAGTAATAATGTCCCCAATCATTGGGACAATATCTCAAACGATTCCTCTAAGATGGCCCGGAAAATCTACTGCTAGTAGTAACAAAAATATTATATTCACGATGTCAATCACCCACAGAAGCCTTGTGTCTTGCACCGTGTTTTCAACACAACACTACCAATTCCTAATCTTACTCATGTATGAGTATGGTCATGGTTGTAAAACACAACACCTCGTTCGCCAACAAAATATAAAGTACTTATCAATAAACGTGAACATGTGGGTGAAATTCATGATTATTTCCAAGATTACAAAGAACAGTTTTGGTCTTCTGACCAGCCAACCTCATTCTATGAATGATTAACTAAACTAAGTATGCAAATTTCCCGAAATTACAACCCTCAATCAAATGTCCATTCTTCAAATTCGTCATCCATTTCGATTCAAGTTATGTCAAATATGGTCATAGACCACACTAAATAAGAAGCACAAATCTTGTAAAGAGCGACGAATGATCTGCGAAGCTATCTCACATATCGTTCTCCTGCGCATTTGATAATTCCTCACGTGAGTTTCGGTGCATATTTCCGGGAAGAATGCATGTATTGATCACATCAAAGTAAATGCGTCTCCCAACCTCCGAAAATCCGCACCAGATAAAGAGACTACTAATAACGTGTCATCTGCGCGACTTATGCGGCAATATATACTCGAAAATGCGTTACACTGTGGAGCGGACAGGAAGATGGAAAATCGACCGTTCAACTCAGCGCTTTCTGCTGCATGCCGTGTTTCTGAAGTAGGTTCAAAATAACGCGAAAAATCTGGCACCTCAACTGTTTGTTCCCACTACATCACGAAACACGCTGCATAGTTGGTCGTTTAAGGTCCAAAGAAATTGTGCACATACTGTTCCAAAAAGTAAGTGGTAGTGTCCACCAGGGGGCATATAAGTACAGAATGTCAAAGTGTTGTAGCAGCTTTTATGAGTAACCCGCATTCGCTAGAAACCAACCGCAGCGACTGGATGCTAAACCAATAGGAACGGTTTGGTCAAGTGATGCTGGCGCTCTGGGGTTCTTTAGGTCTTTTCACGGCTTATGCGACACTTCAGTGGACCAGTTGAGGACACGAGTGTGGGTAACTTGACACCTGTAGCTTAGCTCAAGTAGCGGACAAAGTCGAGATTGGGCGATCAACACTAGATGGTGATGCAAGCGCTCGTTACTGTATTACCTTAAGTACCATGGACATCCATAGGGTAGTGGAT